GTGTGTGTGTGTGTGTGTGTGTGTGTGTGTGTGTGTGTGTGTGTGTGGCAGAAGCCAGCCATGGGTGTTGACCCTCAGGCATCATCTTACTGATTATCTAGGTGGGCTGGCCAGCAGCTATCTCTCCATTTCTGCCTCCCCAGTACTGGGATGAGACACTCAAGCCGCCAAACCTGGCTTTTATGTGGGTGCTGTGGATGGTACTCAGATTCTCAGGCTTGTGCCCAAGCACGTCATTCATGGAGCCAGCCCCAACCACCCCCACAACCCACACCCACCCCCACACAACATACCCCATAGAAATTTTCCAAAGAGAAAGACACATTGGGAGCTGAAGGAGTACAGAGGAGTGGGCTGGGAGGGTGAGGAGTGGATATGAGGTGGGTCAGGAAGTGACCCGGTAAGGGGCAGACACTGGCCATCTGAGTCTGTAGCAGTAGCCAGTTGGGGACTGAGCAGGACCTCTTCCAAGGCCAGCCTGGGTTTCCATTATGGAGAAGAGAGTCCAGAAAACACTCTCACACTGGAATGATCTCTTTAAGCCATTGCCACTCTCAGCCACCTGTGAATCTGAAAATAGAGCTACTGAGCATGCCCCCTGAAGCTCTAGCTAGTAGACCCTGAAGGCCCATTGGACAGATTACTCTGAGAGATGTTGGCAGCTTTCTCGCCTGGCACCACCTTTCTGACTGTAGACCAGAGCGCTAAATGAGAGCCAGGTGTAGAATGGCAATGTCTGGTCATTGTGCAAACAGGGCACTCAAGGTAGACCTCCCTGAAGGTCCGTGGGACCAGCTGCCACCAGCAGCTCTGGCCACTACACTCAGACTGGGGGGCTCTAGCTGCTGGCATCTCCTCAAACTCTATGTGTCAGGAGAAGATGAGGCAGGCCAGGGCCATGGACTCCCCAAAGACCAGGGAGGAGTATAGAGTTGGTGGGCTTAGAGAAGGGCCATCTTTAAGATCAAGGCTCCTGAGCTTTTGGTACTGCCTGAGGTCTTAGACAGCATCCAGAAAGGGAAACAAGTGGCCCTTCTGCTCCAGCTAAAATAGAATCTTAGTTAGCCACAGTCAAGCCACTCAAATCCACAGCCTCCCCCAGGCTCATGGCCCCTGCGACTGTACCGTATCTGGGAAGCCTCTTAACTTTACCAGACCTCAGTTTCCCCTGGACCACACACTGCCCAAGACGAAAAGGCTTATCAGGGCTACTCTCCAACTATATCCTACTTTCCCTAGAATGATCTGTTCATGTTTGCTGCCTAAAAGCACTGACATGCCTCTGATCCTCTAGGATCCTCAGAAAGGCAGTGCCCAAGCCAGGTCAGGGAGCAGACAGACCCAGGGTGACCGTTTGAGTCTCCAGGAAAGCCAGGACATCCAGGTCTTTAAGGAAGGAAAGAGTCCCATGAGCTTCCACAGTCTGCCTGTGGTTGTGAGTTGGATGCCATCGGCCGCTGGCTACCGCAGTCCTCAGCATGAAGAGGCGGGTGGATGAGGCGCATCGCTCTGTGGTTCAATCTGGCAACTCCAGAAAAAATGCACGCTCTCATTCTCACGAGCCCAGCCTCCAGGCGAACAGAGAAGATGAACTGCTGCTGCAGGTGGTGTAGAGCTGGCTTCTCCCAACCATCTCCTTTTGTCATGGTTTGAACAAAGAAGGCAAACACACACACACACACACAAACAGAGAGAGAGAGAGAGAGAAGGACTCAAAAGGGAAGCTGACTAAATATAATTGCTGTTTCCTGTCCTGGTTTGTCCATAAAAAGGGTCTAGAACCCCGTATGGGTTGTCTATGCTAACAGCCTGATAATCACATGTCATTAGCATTTCTCATGAGCAAGGCCCTTGGGAAATCCTTTTGGGATGTTTCCAAATTGGACTGTAGTGGTGCTCTCAAAAGGGGGGGATGGCAAATGGGGAGCTGCCCTGAGCAGGGGCCCTGCCCCAAATCAGGCATTCTTCCTTAGTAAGCCCTGAAAATCTTCCAGCAAGAAGCAGCCCTTCCATCTGAGTCTGAAAGCACAAGCAGGACCCAGATAGGGGAAGAGATGCTCCAAGCATAGGAAACAGCACAGAGAAGGCAAAAGAACATCAATGCAGGCCAGTGGGAGCATCACCACTCAGGAACGACTGGCACACACTGGGGAATGGATGGCAATTGAGAGAAGAACAAGGAGCCAAAGACAAGCTCCAGGGTACTGGGGATGGGAGTGGAACCCCAGATCATAGAAGACCTTGGGCTTCACCCCTAACAAAAGCACTGGCTACTGTTTCTCTTTCCCTGGAACGTGACACTGAATGTGACTGTGAACAGGTTAACATTCTGTTTATTGCATGCTCAGCGTCTCCCGTTTTCTGGGCAAGCCAACATCTCCCATGTTGACCTGACCCTTGCAGGTGGCTGAGCTGGCTTTACGATCCAGTTTGCCATGTCATAAAGTTTGGATTTTGTCTTTTGGGCAGTATGGAGCGGCTCAGAGGTCACATGTATAGACTGCTACTGACAGGAGTGACAAAGGCATGACGATGTCCCCACAGGACATTGATTCTGGGCCTGTACTTTAACCAAGTCATTTAGGACAGCTTTGTTCTTTTGATGCAAGAGTAAGTCTTGGTCTTGTGAAAACAAAGGGCCTACCATTAGGGGGCATACAGGTCAATCAATGAACTTGGGGAGGGGGGAGTGCTAGGGTCCATGGAGAAACAGGAGAAGAAGGAGGGGCCTTCCTGCTGGGAGACCAGGATGCTCAGGAAATGACCAGAAGGCAGGCCTGGCACTGAAGCAAAGGGCTCCGGCCCTGGCTCCCCTTCTGCTGAGGCCACCTGTGAGTAAGATGAGGAGAGTTAAGTAACTGGAGAAGGGCAGAGACTGGCTAGCTGACAGACAGCACAGGGGACCTAGGATCTGCTCCCTGGTGGCTTGCTATTTTAATCCATCTCCACGCCCCACCCCTGCCTGCCTTCATTAAGTAATCTTTTCCAATGGCCTCTACAGTTTATAGGCAAGGTTGGACATGGGGCTGACAGGAGGTCATGTGGAATGCCCCAGAAGCTGATCCTGCCCTGGGCAGGCAGGTGACTTGTCCAATAGTGAAAAGTGACGAGTTGCCAAATGTGGAGGGGCAGGACGGTCAAGGATGTAAAGCAGGTCACGGCGGAGAGAGCTCTCTACAGTTGACGGGAGTGGGGAGTGACACACACCAAGGTTAGGAGACTTAGAAGCATAACCTAGAATAATAACCTAAATGGAGAGTGGACATCACAAGGACATCTGTGTGAAGTGAAGCCCTTTGGGTAAGAAGCATTACAAGGGGACAGAGACAGGAAGAGAAGGCTGTGACAGGCATGGGTTCCGAGTTCAAAAGGTGCTTCCCTGGCCAAGGCGTTGTCTGAACACTAAGAAGAGGGTTGACGTGTAAGCCAGCCCCACAGACAGTAGCGGGAGGAGTGAGCTTCTGCAGTGGAGCTCACACTTGAGCGAGCCCCAGAACGCACACAGAACGCACAGTCACTACCCAGATTCTCGGGACCCACCAGAGGGTTCCTGAGTCTAAAGTGCAGATGCAGGCACAATCTGCATGTTTAAAAAGTTCCCAGATGGTGCTGAGGCCATAGGACCACACCTGTAAGGGGCCTCTGTGAAGAAGAGAGGGTCTTTGCAGCCAGCAGGCCTTGTGGCCACAGGAACAGAGCCTCCTCCAAGGTCCCTCGTGGTCAAGCTCACCAAATGAGCAAGATGGCCAGAGATAAG